TTATACGGGGGCAGATCGGGCTGCATTACTCGGCTCCAGCGCTTCTCCTGGTGTGACAGGACCTTCCTCTTCGGCCTGCAGAGCGGTGAAGCGGTTCTGCAAGGGCACCTCAGGCTTCAGGGGAAGTCTCTTCCTCCTGCTGGTCCTTGCCTTTGCAACCGTCCATTTTTCTGCATTATTGGCCCCCCTGCTCCCTTCTGTGTGTGCCAGTGGGGGAGTTTTTGGCTGCTTGGCTGTGGGCTGTGGCCTAAAATCAATGACATGGTCGTATAACTTTACCCAATTGCTAAGCAGTATCAGTCAGCACCTCACTCAAACAAATACGTGTTCAGGGGGAAAAACACATACCCATTCTTCCCTATTACACGTATCAATAGCAGCTCTAGCTCTTACATCTGCTAGTTGATCGCTCTGATACCCTCTCTTCTATTCTGATGAAGTGTAGTTTACATTTCCTTTGCTGTTCTTTTCTTTGCCATCTTAAAAGTTATACACTGAATGATTTCTTTTGTTTTTTGAAAGAAGCTTTTACTTCTATAGACTTCTCTATTTCTCACCTGAAACAGATGTGTTGGATGGTTTGATTGCAGCTCTTACTCATTTATACCTCGGAGACTCTAGGGAAAGACTTCAACCTGTAATTCTTAATGATAACCAGACGGTACTGCTAATGGAAACTCAAAAAGCAAACCAAAACAACAACAATGACGACGACAAAAAGAAAAAGAAAAAATTGAAACCAAGAATGTACTAATCGTAAACATGTAGCAAAGAGGCATTTCAAAAGATGTTTTTATACATATATACCCCCCAGCATATATATAAAATATATATATGTAAATAAAAATCAAAACAGCAGCGTTTTTATTCTTACTATCCCCTATATAGTGTATCCTAAACTTAGTCAACAGGTATAGTACAACTTTTAAGATTTCAAACAAAGCTTTCTGATTCAGCCTCTATCTCAGCTGTTATTAATTAAGGGCTTAAAATCATTAGAACACCACCCAAAATAACAGAAAAAAAGAGAGTTAACTGATTTTTCAGCTAAGCTCTCTTGAGAAATCAAACAGAGGAGAAAACTTTAAACACAGAACTTTAAACAGAGGAGAAAGCTTCTTGACCTTATGTGACGCAGTGGCAGTCACTCTTAAGTGCTACAGCATCCCAGTGTTCCTACAATTACAGGCTTCTACAAACATTCAGTTCAAAGTCACATGCATTTTACCTACACACATGAAGCAGACTGTCCTTAACTAGTTTCACCAACTGAATACACACTACAAACAAGTAGGTGATAGTGCTGTTATCAGGCATTTACTGAGTATGCATGTTGTGCCAGGGGAATACATTTCTATTTCTTGTGTTCCCTAAAAATAAGCCATTAAGCCAGTCCTGAATACTTCAGTAAGTTGTCTCTCTTGCCAGATGGCCTACAGACCAAGAAAACAGTAGTTTCTGCATCAGTTTAAATATGCTAATACCAATTTGCACCTATTAGTTGCTATGTTTGCAAAAAGTCACCCAGTGTAACATCAATATTGTACTTTGTTAAATAAATAATCTGTGATTAATTTGTTCCCTAGCAATTGTCTCTATACAATGCATATTCCATTAATGGCGCCCCAGAAAACACAGAATTATTTCCTCCTGTTGCTGCTCCCAAGTCTAGCTAAAATATGAAGTACTTCTGAAGAAGTTGCACATGGATAATTCAACTGTTAATCCAGTCTTGTTGCAAGGCTGTAAAAAGAAATTCCAATTAAGTCAAACACATATCTTGATCTCCAACAGGAAAGGAGAATTAAAAATGCACAACGCATATAGATTGGGAAGGGAAGAAAGGACAGAGCATGACATCTAAAAGAGGGCTGCAACCAAGAAAGCAAACTTTGTCTCTGGGATTTCCTTGGTACCCAACTTTTAGGAGTGCTGCAATATAATGATGTTATCAATCAGCAGAAAAGGCAATTATTCAGCCCTTCCAGAATTCAGGTCCTTATCTCTGTGCTTCCACTTCCATAACTGTGAAATCAGAACTAACATTCAACTATTTCAGAGGCTGGACCTGGCTTCACACATACCTCAACTGAAGTGACTGGACCTGTAGGTACCTTCTTCATGTCATCTTCTCCATAATTCTCCCTATTATATATGTAACAAACTACTGCTTTTATGTATAAGCTACATACATGCAAGTGCTCCATAATCATTAAATTATCAAGAATCCTTTGAGGGTGATTAATTCTATAAAAGGAATCACTTTTGTAGTTACAATCACTCTTGCATCAAAATGTTCTACCTACCCATGAACTGAAAGGAAGAGAAAAATCTAGATATAAACAGGCAGTATTTATTTTGAAGCAATTCCAATACTGGTATTGCCCCTATTTTAATAAACATACTACATGCGTTACAAGGAACAATGCATTGTTATGCACATGCAATTTTAAGACTTTTCCTGTCCTACCCAACAGCACTGTGTACCTTCCCAGTATATTTAGACATTGATTAAGCACAGGCTCCAGAGAAGGAGTGCAACCAAAACTTCCAAGAACAGGCGCTTTGTTTCACATCATTTTCTCAGCATTCCCTTATTGAGTGTATAAAGCGGTATTGTTAACAAATCAAATTTGTTATAGGAAAAAACCCAATCTTTTTCTTTTACAGTCTCTCTCTCGTTAGTACTAATCAGTAATTTTTAGATGTTAGTGCTAAAAGAGACAAACCCCCGCAATTCTTCATTTACTGCAACTGCTAAACTCTTGTTCAAGAAGCAGAAATAGTAAATTGTATGGTAACATTTTGTATTGATTAGGTATTCACTACCTGGCAAACCAGTTTCAAATCCTCAGTTTCCTGAGAAGGGGCAGAAAATCATTGAAAAGTTACATCTGTACTGAGGCTCTCCCACCACCCCCCCTGTACCTCTGAACTATCTGCATATGATTGAAGTGATTTGCTGCTGCCTTGCTTAAAAACGGCAAGATTTTAGCAGAGCCTGCTCTGCTATTCAAATGTTTGCTGCATCAGTACCATGTCTATGTGCGCACCTCAAAGGATCAAATCAAATTCAAAGCACCTGACATCCCACTAGAAAAAAAGCAACCAACTGTATTTCAGAATTCTAAGGAAAATACAGTGTGTTAGTGAAAAAAGTTTGTTAAAGCAAGAGACGCAGATGCCAACTGAGCTATGAAGCATTTTTTGATTGATGTGATTAATATTTTTAATAATTGCCTACGATATTTCTTCAGCAAGACTGCGCCTCCTACTTTCAACTAGTTTAAAAGCATTTGACAGAAACCTTGGGAATAAGTCAGTTAACATCACTATTATCAAGCAGTATTAGTAAGATTTGTATGTTTATTTTAAGAGTATAATAATTGACTTAATTTTTTAAATGTAATTCTGGTTTTAGAAAGAAACAACCACGCTTGATTTTTGCATGAAGAAAAGTCAGTAAACTCTATAAATACATGTCCTGTTAGTTCAGCTTTCCTCCTGACATGACAGACACTGCCTTTTATTGTACTTCTAATCAGTAGAAGTTAACACATCTTTTGTCATCTTTGCTGTCTGTCCTCAAAACTCATAAATAATGGAAGCGAGAGAATTACAGCTCTGACCAGAGACTGTGAAGGTTTGCTGCTTTGGAACATTATAGGTATTGTTTTTAATGATGAAAGAGATGACTTAATAAGGTTTGAAGGAGTCAAGTTACAGTATGTTCCCATTTCATGCAATAACTATGTATGGCTCCTTCTGGTGAGCGCTTCTGAATCTCTGTGCTCTGCCCTGGGCACATGTACCAACAGCCTTGGCCAAGCAGGTGTCTTCTTATAAATGCACCTTACATGTGACTGTCTGCAGTTTAGAAAGCTTTCTACAACATGGTACATCATGTGGCTATACGTACAGATACGTGGGCAGATATAAGGGCAGATACCTTCAAATGAGGAGGCCACGCTTAAGCTATATAAAAAAGGTTTTCTGATGGAAAAATCATTATACTTTTCATCAGAAAATTCCTGCAAGTTTTTTCTGTTGCCTATATTCCTAGAATATGTCAATAATAGATGACATTACAGATGTCCACAGTTAAGTTCTGCTGAAAGTCAGTAATTAGAGCTGTATCTGATTAATTATCAGAAGCACAATGGAGTGCTGAGCAGTGCAGTCTGATTCATGAGCTGTCACATTAGTAAACTGCAGGACAAGACACTGATACGTGCACGCTACAAGGCAGACTCACCCTTGAGGTAAAATTTCTGCAAAGAGCAGAAATAAACTGAATCCTAGCACAGGATAAAAGTGTTACCTCCTCCTGTGAGGGTGAATCTAGACTAATTTAGATGAACTTTAGATTTGAACAAGTTCAAAGCTACCCACATCCACTCTTTTACTGGGCCACATCATTACCTCCTATAAATTCCTGTAGCTGCACTGAGCCCAGCTGAGTTACACCAGGTGACATTAAGGATGTTATGGTTGCAAGACACATTTTCAAAGTCAGAAAATAAAACGTACATTTTAGTAGCTGACCCAAATCATAGCAAACCACAGTACACAAATGTCCCTTAAAAATATGACTGGATATCAGATTTTCTCATGCTGTTACTAATGGGAGTCACTGCCATAAAAAAAGTTACTCCACTCAGTAAGTTCCCAGCATGTGCTGTCGCTGAAATCAATCCTCCACAACAGTGACAAATATTTACCTGTATATCCCCACCTTCCACTTTAATAATGAACATAACATAAATATCTGTGTGAGAGAAAAAATGAAAAATATATAATCTAGGGTGATATTTTATTTGGTCATCAGAAAGTTACTCACCCCAGCCAAGAAGAATTTTACAAGGTGCACATAAATACTACACATAGCCTAATATGACACTCTAATCCTCTAAAATGGCTTTTTCAGGGCCACATGATGGATCATATTATTGTTAAATTCCAGTGACTCAGGTGCATTTCATTTCTTTGACTTTCATTGGAAAGCCATTAACAAAGTGTGTGATAGGATCCATGGTTTTCTATCAGATTCAGCATATCAGAAGTATGAAGTTGCCCCTTCCAATGCCCACACCAGACTTCTAGTCAGAAAATGCAAGTCCCATCGCAGTTTCTAAATCAGCTTCAAAGAAATCCCCAAACCTAATCACCTCCAGGCTCGTTACAGTCTTCACTAGAGCAGCAGCTTATAAAAATCTTATAAAAATCATCCGGGCTTTTTTACATGTGTCTGTGAAAATGGCCCAAAGCACAACAAATATTGTCTTTAGTAATGCATAGGCTTCTTTTGCTTAAGATAGAAGATCAGCTTAATTTTGGGGTACTCGCCATTTTTTCTTCAGCTTTGTACAGGCAGCAATTTTCCCAGCAAATGGTAGTGACCAAAAAGCTATACACGGCCAAGTAACCTCACAGAAAACTGCAATATGTCTGTGGCCCAAATTCCAAGCGCCTGGGCGGCTAACAGAGAAAGCAGCCTCAGCAGAATTGTCTCTTCCTCTCCTGAGATTAGAATCCTTCAAATCACAGTACGATACTTCATTCTTGCAATTTCTTTATTCCAGGCTCAGTGGGGAAACTCCCCTTCACAGAAGAGCCAACAAGACCTCTTCATCAGTTACATCTCTGAAATGAATTTAAACATGATTTACACTTATTCTGTCCTTTTAATGATTTTTTTCTTCCAAATAAAAACTAGTTCTCTGTTTTTAACTTCCATTCCCAACCATTTCTACTCCATTGCTAAAAAGAAACTATGGTTGAAAGGCACTAAACAAGAAAATTCACCATAAAAAGTGCACATAGACAAAGCATGGAAAATATAAACAATAAAACAACCAGAGGACTCAGTCTGAAATACAGGCTAAAATTGAATCTCCAGTTAATAATGAACATGGTATCACCTTAAATGATTTTCAAGCACAAAAAAATTGAGCAGAATAATTCCTTAGCACAACCTTAAAAAAACGGTATTCTCAACACACACAAAACAGTGCCAGTGAATTCAAGTCAACTACAAAGTAATTTTTTAAGTCTGTGAGTTGTTGCAGGTTTATAACCGGAATTACACAGTGAGACACAAAAGTGTCCAGTCCCCAGAGTCTAGCCGATAAGATGTCCACAGAGATACTCCCGTGACAGTATTCTGTAGGATATATTTTTCTTAATATTCTTAATCTGGACCCTCATCCTGCAAAATAATTGTGCTTACAGGATGCCTATTGCCTGAACAGCAATATGGAATTCAACAACTCAGCGACATGGAATTCCAAAACCACCATTCATATACATCAACAGCAAACTTGCATATTCTTAACCTGCATATATATGTGCATTTACTAAATATTTTGAAGTTGTCAGATTTATCTGTTGTCTTTAAACAGTAAAAATGTAAAGACAGCATAATGCTCTTACGTTCTTTCCCTGTATTCTCTGGGAAAATCATGGATACTCCCCATTTTGTAAAAAGGGCATTTCATTCTAACTGCCCATAAAACATTCAGCAATGCTTAGACACGGAGCTCTGTAGCAGTTTCATCGATTTACATAATCACTTGACAAAGCCAATGACACTACACTAACCCAGAACTACGCAGAAAAAAAGTTTAAAAAGACGAGCTTGGCAAACTACACACATTCAGTGCTTGCTGGGTCATGCAGGCTCTCAGCATGCATTACACAGCAGAAGTCCCTGCACCTTTTTGTAGCATTTCAACAAGGTCAAGAGAATCCAATCAGCTCCTGGCATCTTCTTGTACTCACTGCAGTATGATCTTTATAATTACTTATCCAATAATCCCTAGTGATCTCACAACATCTAACACTCAACTCTTTTCATATTCCTTGTGCCCTTATCACACTAATGAATAAGCTTTTTCTTCTTCTACAGTTATATAAACTATTCTAAGTAACCAATAGTTGTCCTTCTATTTGCATGTACAAGTCAGTCATCCAGAAAGAACAATATATTGATTTCTAGGAAAAGAGGATACATGCAGAACTGCAACCTAGGATGGCTATTTTTAAGCAAACAAACTGCTGATTTAGTGAAAGCACTGACTTGTCTGTCAAAACAAACTCTTACTAAAACTTCAAGAGTTCCTTTTGAGAAGCCATTCAGAGTGATTTTTCTTCTATCAACGTCTTCTGCAATTTTCTTACAATTAGCAAAATATATTTAGCAGAACCGAAGGCAAATCTAGTAACAGAAAGACAACTTGCACACAAATGGTAGATATTTAAGTGGTAAAGAAAGCATCTTCAATCACTACAATCTTTTCTTATAAAGCTGGCTTGAAAAAGTAGCAAACTAATGAAACCCCTAAAAGTACTACTGCAGAACACTGAGATGCAAAATAATCATATATAGCAACAACAGGGTAATGTAGGATTTCCAGAACATCCAGCGAGACCAAAGTTAAAACATCAACATCCATAATCCCACTGCTTACTTTTCCGTTTCAAAAAAGGGATAACTGTTTGCTGTCTACTGTGTTAGGAGCAACTAACTCCTGACACTGTTTGTGTAGTTAGGAAAGAACATCTCACTGGCTCTACAGTTATATGGAAGAGGTCTTCTAGCAAAGTAAAGAATTAAAATAAAATGAAAAATGTGACTAAGGCAGCTATCTTTCTATGCTTCAAGGTTTCCTGATCACCTCCAGGAAGCAAGCAGGAAATCTGCTGCAATACATAGAACTTCTCAGTTTGTTAAGTGCGTGGTAGGTTTTCTCATTTTCCTCTGAAACTTAATGTATTAGTTACTGCCAGAGGCAACAAACTCAACAGTTGAGGTTAATAATGAATATATAAAGCTGCTGTTTGAAACAACATGCCCTCCTGCACCAATTCAGTAGCATCCAAGTGTCCCTAAATGTAGCATACTTGACAGTGAGAATGCTATTTACAATTAAATTTTTAAGCCATCAAAATGAAAAGCATTACATGCAGTTCTTACACTAATGTATGAATTTGCCTACTAACACTGAGGATTTTGCATAGCAATGAGGCAGTTTAAGTAAATGGCTCCTAGGCTCAAGAGTTCACATTGCTCGTTGTCCTTATATTTTAATTAAATGATCAATTTAGAATTTCTACTTGCTTCATCTTGTACAACCAAAGAATTCAAGGAAATTATACAAACATGTATGTGCCCTGCCTATTGTCCAAAATGTTTTGCTTGCTTTTTAAGAATATCTCACCTGTACGGGGATTTCTATCTATCCAAAGAAAAAGAAGTGAGATTCTGAAACAACTACAATGAAATTAGGTACCTAATTACCACTGCAATCACATTGCAACTATCACCCTAAATGTTTGTAAGTTCTTAGAATAATTGAAATAAACATTAATAACCTTACAGGTATACCATCTTAAAAACTTTGACTGCACCTCCGTTTTTTGGTGGCAGCCAAAAAACTAACAAAAAGCTGGGCATCGTGGGGAAACGTACTGAGCCCATCACACAGGGTATTGTTTCAGCACTACATAAAACCTGGATGGGCCCACATCTTGACTATTATGAGCAGTTCTGGTCTCAGCTCAAGAAGGGCGGTTCAAATGGTCAAGTGAATGGAGCTACCACTATTCAAGAGAGGCAAAAAAATGTCTGGGACTGGTTTGGGGAGGAGGAGCTTGGGGGAGGCTACAATTGAGTTTTACAAAATGATGAAGGCCCTAGATAAATTGAATGCAAAACCTCTCCCTGCAATATTAGGTCTAGGGGGCAGCCAGTGAAAGCAACAAACATTTTACAACAGGTGAGAGTGTACACTGCAGAGCATACATGCATGTACGGTGTCCCTCATGAAGCAGCTGTGACTGGTGGCAGGGAACACAAGGGAAGCAAGTGGCCAGGTTAGTTTCCCTAAATTGCATCTCCTCTCTCCATTGCCCGAGACAGATCACTGGGCTAGACAGGCCATTAGTCTGACACAGTACGACATTTCTTATGTTTTTGAAGATCTCCATTATACTTTGTAAGCCTAATGGCTAATTGCTGAGTTTCTTCTTGTTACTGTTAAGAAAAATACACAATGCTTGGTGAGCAAAGGGGCTTCTACAGCATTTTTGAGTGGTGCATTGCACTAAACCAACAATATGGCAGAAAAAATGTAGTTGTGAAGTTGGCTCTTGAGATTCAGGCAGCCCTCGTTCAGGGCAAAAGCACCCTGCTATGGGCTGGGCAGACAGCTGGGGTGAACAGCTTCACCCAGCCAACTTAATCTGCTACGCCAGGTGCAGCAGCAGCTACTTATACATTTTATGAATTAAGACCTTCGAAATCATCACTGCAATGAAATTCTATTTGTCTCATTAAATTATTTCAAAAGGCAGAACCTCAAGTAGCTGAAATTCCCCTTTGACAGGACTATCACCTACTGTGTCCTCAGTGCCCCCCTCGGACACCTCTGGGCTTCTCTAAGGTCTTTTAGATCATCGGAACGCTAATTAGCTAATCATAGCTATGCTAAATTCTAAAATTTGCATTTCTGAAGTTAAAGGCATGAAGCTAATTTATTGCTAGAATCATGCAACGTAACTAGACTTAAGTAGCAGATAATAGTGCCTGAAAAATGAACCACTCGCACATTTTGTATTGCTACAAAGCTTAAAGAAAACAAACATCAGGGATCATTTACAAAAGCAAACAACAGCTGTTGCACAAGGGGGGAAAACAACCTCTTAAACTGAAGTAGAAGAGAAAGATGAGTAAGTTACAGACTGAAAACCGGACAGATTAAGAAAAAAA